CATTAAAAAAACTTTGATTGAATGCATTGAATGAATAGTTTAAATTTTTAATTTACCCAATGACAATTTATGTACCATACAATAAATAACAAATACATTTTTTTATTATTACAAAGTCTTAGTGAAAAACATACTATAATTGAAATGCGTACGACGTTTTTAGCTTGTCATTAATCGCAATCTAACTAAGATGTTTATTCGAAATGACTTTACAAATAAATAAGAAATCATCATGTTAAGTAAATAATAATACGTAATTTTCCAAATACCCGCACACAAGCCTAGAATAAATGCAAAAGACTAGCAATTGTATGTGTTACTTGCCAATTAGTCGGACCACGGATCTTTCTGAGTACCATTTGCAGTTCGGGCGTTCAAATATGACACTACACGTATATCTCTTTTACCCTATCACATATTACTTTCGCCCCTTTCTGCATACCCAATCACATGCAAGAAGGAAAGAATTTTATTATAACTTTTACTTTCTCAAAACCAGTCAGTTCTTTAAGAAAGAGATATCAAATCATTTGGTTATCAAGGAATAGTTCGAACGATCGCACCAACTTTTAACATATTGTCATTCATTTATTTAGGTACCTCGGTAACATGCAATTGCCATTCTTCAAATAATCTGCGATACATAATTGTGATTTTGATTGTAACATTGTTATTTAAATTTAAATCATATAAATCAAGAACAATAACACACCGGCGTTATGTGAGCAAAGACATAATACGTTCACGCGCGATTTAAAATTTTATTTGGAGTGTCAATTGTTGATACATTCTAAAATTACTACAAAGTGTTAAGATGAAACCTAAGAGAATATTGTAAACGGTTGTAGTAAATTGGATAACCCTTCCCTTGGATATACTGATCCCCGATAAAGCCAATGCTCATCTATACTAATGTTAAACACTCGCTACCCGCGGTACCATAAATCATCGGTGCGCTAGGGACAGGCGCGTGCGGTGCGTCACTTATCGATAACCGCTTATTGATTCCTAGAACGATGAAGAATAGTGTGAAGGCGCGCGGTAGCTTATTAATAAGTGCTGTTAATTTAATAATTACTCCGCAAGGGTAATTTAATAATTATTAAATACGTTTTAATATTCTTCTATTACCAGTTTTAATATGCTTCTATAGTCTTTTGAGCGTCTTGTCATAAACGTAGGTGACGTTAGCGACAGTGAGTTTTGATTAGATAGATTAATTATAGTATACCTATTTTAAATTTTTATTTATTTTATTTAGTCTAAGTATGTATTTTTGACCAATAATAAATGTAAGTTTTTTTTTTATTTTGCATTCTTTACTTTTTCATAATATACATCGACACGACAGCGGTGCGTCACTATACCTGCCGCAAGGCCCGTAAGTGCGACAGAGAGCGTAAAAGGCGGCGTCCTGTTCCCCCATTTTATTGCACCGCGGGCAACGAGTGTTTAACATTAGTATAACCCTGTGTTACCGCTCTATTAAATTTTCAACATATTTACATCAACAACATCAAAATTAGAAAGTAGATCTGTTACTTTAAAATGTGCAGTGAAGAAAATATCATGCCGTCTTATTACATTTCACAATATATACGTAAAAGTGAGCACACAGACAGAACATACAACTCTTGTTTAGTGAAAATAATAACATTTTACTATGATGTATTATTTATGAAATTGAAGTGGAACGTTTAACAGTAGCTTAAGAAGTTGCACGATTATTGCAAAATAAATGTTAATAGTGTACAAATATAGTTCAATTTTATATAGCACCACAATACACCAAGTTTAGATTCATATTACATTAGACAACACGCGCACTGTTTTAGGTTAAACACTAACTCTGGAGGATAGATTTATTTACTTTTCTTTTTTTAAATAAATAAAATGTACTGTTGTCTGTATGTATTTAAATCGAAGTTTTTAAACGAATTATCCAGAAATATTATATTTGTTAAGCTGAAATCTTGAATTTGTGTCGCTATCGTACAATATACAACGTAGTTATAGCATAAATAAAGATTATAATAGAATATTTATTTCAAAAAAAATATTGACAAGAATATTGTAAGACATAATAATTTAAGAATTATTTTTATTTATATATTTAAATGTGATCTGTTTTATATGAAAAATACGATTAGTGTGTTATCAATAGTAGTCTTTAAAATGTAAGATAAATATGAACAAAGCTCGCTTATTACGATTTAACAGCTTAACTGATGCATTCATGAGGAAGTCCAAGTACACCAATATTAAAATTGGATTTTTAAACACACACAATATATTTATATACTCAGTTCTAAATTTTATCAACACTTTAACGTTATATACCAACAACAGAATATTTACATGTCTCCAAACATCTAATTCAACAACTTTTATATAACCATAGACCGATAATACGTAGACATTTTATCTACGAACATTGTATTATATGTAAATATTTAAAATTCATCATTGTCCGTTATCAATGTCTTTAATTCATTAGTCATATGTATATAACCATTTTATGTAACTTTTATATCATATCCTTGACTTAACTAAGATTTTAACACTAGTAAAGATATTAAATAACTTTAAAACTAACAGTACATTTGACTGACTCTACTAGACCGCCGTCTTACGTTAATAACTTCTCAAAAGTTAAAAAAGTTAAAATAAATTAATAGCTGCTTTAAATTCACTAGCTGCAGCCGAATACTGATAAAATTATATTGCATTATATTGCAAAAATTGCAGGACAAATTATTGCAAATGAAAATGTCCATATAAATGACCAATTGTATGTCAAATAAAATGAGATATTAATGAGCTAATAAATTATAAAAAGAAGAATTGGTTTATATTTGGGAACAACTGTTAATTTCTTTTTAAATTTCTCTTCTTTATGAGATCGTTTCGTATGGAATGTAGTCATGTATCACTTGATGATGATTAAGGATTATGAATAAACATTTTTTCAAAAATAATATCTAGTCAGAAATATCATGTTTATGTTTAGATAGATAGATAGATAGTAGTTTCATGTTTAGAAGTTTATAAATTTCAGATGTAGGTTTTTGACAATAATATTAATTTTGTTTAATAATAATAATGATTTATTCATGAAACGTCGGGAATTAAAAAGTAAAATTTATTAAAAAAATTTAAAATCCGTAAAAATTAGTTTCATTTAATAATAATAATAATAATAGAGGAATAATTTTATTGCGTTTTGCTAAATAACCATTTTATTATATACAAAACTTATATTTTAACTTTTGGTAAGTCCACATGCACACCAGCAAAAAAAAAATACTTGTATTTACTACTTCAGAAGGAATATAAAACAATGGAGTACGTATACTAAATTCGCATTATTTTACACTTAGGCTTTCTATTATTCTTTACTGACATTGGCAGAATCAACATCGAATGCCATCGAAGTGGCTCATATGCCTCTATATTATTGTGTTCTGTGAACTTGTAAATAAATCATGTCATAAATAATTTAACACAATTAAATCAAATTTATAGATAATAGATAGATAGTTAGTAATGTTTGTACAAATAAAAGTAATTTTAAATTTGTGCCATGTGCTTGAATTTTTTAAATTCTGCAAGTCCACTTCTAAAGTTCCAATAGCAGAGGCAAACAAGCTTGAGCTTTCATTGAAAAAATAATTTAAAAACTGAGTGATGTTTGACTAAGTGCCGTTTAGGGAACATACAACAAATGAGCATGACAAATACTTCGAGCGCAAGACAAGATTAGGTTGATTGACAATCTCAACCTCTAAAACTATTTAAATGATACTTTTTTCTATTTATTTTAAGGAAAATACATGAAAATGTGGTCACAATGTAAAATGAATAAATAATAAATTTAATATTATAAAATTTATATTTATTAAATGTATTTTTTAGTTATAATCAGTTAGACAGTCGTATTTCTTATCTTGCACGCATAGTAAAAATAGCTCATTTTATAAATTCTTAGTAAAGCATAGGTTTATTTATATTGTCTAAGGGTCCATTTCACGTAATTAATAAGTCAACCGAATTAAAAACATATTTTTAATACAGTTGCTAAAAAAGTGGCGTATTGCAGGGACGTATAGCGTTCGGGATGTGGGCCATTACATACTCGTGCTTTTTCTTTACCTTTTCCGAACTCGTGAAAAAACCAACCACGAAGTTTAACTAAAAAAAATCATAAAAGTTTTTATGATTCATGCAAATATTTCTAAAAAGAAGCTACTAATTTGTTTCAATATCAGATTTAATGATTTGATTCAATGAGCTAGGTTAGGTTTCATTTCATTTCATCTCATTAAATTTCATTTTCATTTCATATCAATAAAAAAATTCTTCTGAAGACTTGGCTGTATGGGCATAGTTCCCTTTGCCTACCCAGAATGGGTGAAGAAAACAAAAAAATCTCTACTTATATTCTTTAACGGTTGGGGCCATTTTCCAAAAATATTCTTTATTAAATTGCTTCATTTTTTCGCAACTGTATTAAAAATAGTTATTCAGTACACGTGCGGAACCGTCATTGCAACTTGTTCCGACGTGAGGGTTGACCCCTCACCTTCGGCTGCGCCTCGGCTCGTGTAGACATTTGTCGGAACTCTTTGCAATGACAGGCTTTCCGCACTCGTAATAAAATATACTATTAAACCAAGTTAAAAATTATTATTTATTACAAATAATAACTTTTCAGTATTAGGAGCGCAGGACGTACAAGAAGTATGTTAAGTATGTAGGTATATAAATTACACCAACACTTTATTTTAAAATTAAATAAAAAAAAAACAATGGTGATGTTAAAAAGGGTCCCGTCTATACCAGGAGTGCATAGCAACTTGGACACTTTAACAACAAACTTGTTCAACAAAGTTTAAATAAGTTAATTAAGTAAGATTTCTAAAATAAAGTACCAGGCGGACAGCAGTCTAGGAGAGTCGGCAGTCTCAGGAGCGCGTGTGTGGCGGCGGCGTGCGCTCGTGTCAGAAGTAGATAACCTCCTCCTCGGGCGGCGCGGCGGGCAGGGCGGCGGGCAGCGGCGCGGGCAGCGGCGCGGGCAGCGGCGCCGGTGATGGGGACTGCACCCGGAACTTGTCCGGCAGCTTCGGATACGTGTTGGTTCTGCGGACGGATATAATTATCCTCATTTTATGTAAAAAAAGTAACAATGGATTTGTATCCATATGAGCATTGTTCGTTAGGCGCTTGTGCTGCTCTGACTTTAGAGAGGGTTTTAGGGCAAAAAGAAGTCCACCGTGCTGTCCAAATGGGCTGTTGGCGTTTTTAACACATCTTACTCCTCACGGTGTTCTCTGTCACCGCCGAGCAATGGAAAAATAGAATTGCAATTAACAATTTCATTGGTGCTGTCGGGGGAGAGAAATTTTAATTTTTCATTAATGAAATGGATTCTCTTTTACAAGAGACATTCGAGCCAACAGTTTATCTGATAGTAAAAACCTCGAGCAAAAATGCAATACCACCTACGGGCGACCCCTTAGATCCTGTGACTGTTGACGAAGTCACAGAAGTCATCAAGTCTCAAAAAGAAATCAGCACTCGGCCCCGATGGCATTAGCAACAGGGTGCTGAAATCACGCTTCGCGCCGCTCGTATGTCTTCTAGTAGGCATTTTAACGCTATTCTAGATACCATCGATGTTGTGACTGTTTGCGTCCCTAGGTTATATTATATGTGTGACGCTTCGTCCAACTGCCATTCTCTCAACCTATTCACTACACCAATAATGAAAAAATTAAAAAGAAGAGTAAGTTTGCACAGCGGTTGCACTCCAACTTAAAAAAGGAACAAAAGCATTTCATGGAGCGATATTTATCTTCGCCCGTAGCGGTAGTAGGACTCCGACACGCGTCGAAAATAAAAAAAAACAGGTGATGAATGACTATATAGTAAAAATATTTTTTCCGTGCAGTTGGGGTCAAAAATCATGGCTCGGCCTCAGCCCGGCTAGGGCGGTGAGCATGTTGCGCGGGCGCAACGCTATTATCGATAACAACAAATAAATCATCGAAGGCAGGTACACAGCGGCGGTGCGGTATACAAAAGTGGGTGCGACATAGTTATGTTATGAGTCATTTTGTTTTCCATTATTACCGCCGCCTAATACCTGCAAATTAGTGCAATGATAATTTAGTACATATATCAAAGAGAAATTTGTTTTTGCGCAATCGCTCTCGATAACGCTTATTGACAACAATAATACGCATCACTATGCTCGCCCCTAAGGCCCGTCAGTGGGAGAGAAAGCGAAATACTCCGATGATTTATGACCCAAACTGCAAGAACAAAATAATTCTAGTATAGTATAGTAAATTTCACGACACGATAACTGTCCGCGACACGTGTGATTGTTTATGGCTGCCGCTGTATAGGCGGGCAACAAGACAATTCGCGCAGGCCGCGTTTTGCCGTCGTAGAATCATAGTGTCGTTGCCTATAACTGCAAATAGATCCATTGCAAATAACCAGCCTTGCGCCCATTCGAATTGCGATCATCTTTCGGAACAGGAATTCGTATAAAATTGCGGTCTCGTGAGTTTTGAAATAAAATAGCAGTTATTCTACCGTTTCGAACACGAGTAATTATCGTTCCGTGAGTTTTTAACCTGAGGTTTTGACCAATGAAATTATCGTTTCATAATATTGGCTCTACTTAGCAGTTCGAAAACTTGTATTTGGCTTCGAATTCCAATTTCCAACGAATGTTATGTTACAAGCGTTCAGACTTCTTTTAAAAATGGTTCTTTTTACTGTCCTTTGACATAGCTGTGTACAAATATAAATTTCGACGTGACATTATTATTTATTACTACACAGAAGTCACGTTTTATAGAGCAAGTACCACAAATAAACACACAGAGCGTTTTATTTTTTAATAATAATCGTAAATCTGACATTGTTACCAATAACATCATTGCACCTTCTTGTGAAATGACAGCATAGTTCTAGAAGTATACTGTCATTGTTGTGCCAGATCTTTCAGAAGAATTTCAAACGACGACGCACAAACTTGGTATCACTCAACCGATACTTGACTTCACGAGAAGATTCCTTCTCACACTACACAATAGTCTCAAAAATACAGGAGCACGGACACATTGTCTTAGCGTAACAAAGGCCTATTTACTGCTTGACAACTATAACCTGCTATTTGTCACAGTTATCATCTATAAAAGTCAGTGGCCATGCATGAGTTGCTGCTGCACGGTGCCCCAAAATTGCCGCCTCTCCCAACACTGTCGAATTATCTTAAAAACATAAAATCGGTAAAAGCCTTATATAGTCTTTATATATTGTTTCAAAATTAATAAAATAATGTATATTTCATTATAATCCCTACCCTTGACAAGTGTGCGTGCATGAATGCGTTCGCACTCATATTTGCGTGCGTGTGTGCGTGTGGCATAATTTTAAAAGATAAGGCGGGGATCTGAATCACATTCCCAAATTGTCGCTTCCTAAAATGAGCCGCCCAGGGCTATATCAAACAGCGTCGCCGGGTCAAAGTGTAAGCTTACAACACTTAAAACGTAAACAAAACCTGTAAAAGTATTTATATAGCAATGAAATATTAACTTTTTAACCATTAAAAGATTTTTACCTAGTAGCTTTATTATTTAGTTGTTGCTGTGATGGTAGTGGTGCGGGGGAGCTCCCTGTACGGGTGTGGTGTATCACTAAGCCTTGGATTTGCTGTAAAAAATAATGCAATAATTTATAATATGTACCACGATATTATGGTGATATATTTTAAATGATACTGATATAGAAATTTACAAGCAATCATAGTCGCCTCGGTGTCTCCGTTTTTCTCTTTCTCTCCGCTTTCATTTATTTTGACAATATGGGATAAAACAGAAAAAATAATTCAGGAGAGTAATAGGGTAGATTAGTGTCAGTTAAACCATTGCAAACATTAAATAATATATAATAATGTAGATAACTTAATTTGTGGCGCTTTTTTAATCACACACACCAACAAGAATTAAAATTCATCCATATAACATTTGGATAATTAAAACAGTATTTGATGTGCACATTTCTTTGATACTCCTAAAAGTAGTATAAAATCATGCTCTAACAACGAAAGCCGAACAGACGAAATGGTTGTGAAAAATAAACATCAAACTCCTACTAAACAATATATTGTAAGCCAATTTGTAATTCAAAAGAAGCGAGGATATTATAAAAACAACCCGAATAAATTGTACAAGTTCTGTATTTCACAGTTAAAAATATATAAAATAGAATAAATGACATACTCTAAGTATAAAATTAATTAGGACTATAAAACAAAAGAAACTATATATTAATTATATAGTTTCTTTTGATTCTTTTATCTTTACTATAACTTATGTAAAATATTTTTTTACTCGTTTAATATGTAAACAGAACCTCCAAAGGTTCCTTTTATCAAAGGTAAAAGTTTATTAAATTATATTGTTAAGTATAAAATGGATACTTAACAATATAATTTAATAAACTTTTATCTTTGATAAACGGAGCCTTTGGAGTTAAGGTCAAAGTTGGATTGATAGATATTTAAAGCAACTTCCGATTCAAGGGTCAAGGTCACGGTCCAGGCATCCTATCACGATTAGACTGTTTGAAGAAAAACAACTTATCACTTCAATCTTAGTAAAAGTGAGCGATGTTTTTCGTGCAAATAACATAGACTGGGAAACACCAACAAGGAATTCAAACTTCAAATCACTGTTTTTAATGTAAGTTAACATGATTCTTAGTCAATATACAATTTATTTGGGCGTTTAGGACATACACGTTTAATGCCTAAAAACCTACACACAATAGAAAATTTGGAAAAGACAGTTCACTAAACACCAATAATTACTTACAATTAATAAATAAACATGGCCGTTAAAATACATTCGGATACTCAGCCTCCTGAAAATCAACCATTTGATCTGTTGCAAATACTCAAGGTAAGAATATCTTGCGATGAATAATTGAAGCAATTTGAACACTAGTATAAAAAACGATTACACTTATCATTTGTAGAAGTATAACACTTATGGTCATATAATCAAACGTTACTCAATTTTAAGATGTCGTTAAGTCTCGTGGTGTCACAGTCACTTTAAGTTAAAGTGATAGAGACAGCACGAGACTTAAAAGTGTCTTAAAATTGAGTAGAGTTTGAGTATTTGGGCATTAGATTAGTAGCTTATTAATCTGAATTTCGGTCCGGTCGACGATTACGAAGAATTTCGTACAATGACCCGTCATTACTTGTTATAGTCACTCATGCATAAATGTTCAGATATTACAAACCTTTTTTAGCTTTAACAATAAGCCTTGTTCTTGTACACGTGTTCTTTGGTATGTATTGACATTTTGGTTCATTTTTAAACTAGTTTCAGCGACATTCTGTTTAGAGATACGTTGGTGACAACTTATATCTCAGTTAAATAGTATCTGCGATTAAGTCTATAAAGTGTGTTTCACCACGTCGATTCATAAATTTAATAGGCGAGACTTTGACATCCTTGGACACCGAAATAAATTGATTCTAAATAAATATTTATTTTAAAGCGCAAAATTATTATTGTTTTACTTTCTTCTAAATCGTAAATAAGTACACGTTTAAGTAAAAATTAATCGACTCGTCAGTAATCTAAACTAAGTAACTTATCTTATTCAGACCAAGCATAATAAATACATTGTTACGTACGACTAGGATGAAAACTGGACATATTCTTCCACAGACACACAAACACTACTAGCATCGACCTACGACATCACAGATGTCGTAGGTCGATTGCTAGTAGTCACTTTCTAAAGTAGGGTTCACCTTCGCGTTCCCAAAATAATTTATTATCCGAGCCCCGGCTAAAGTATCTATACCCAGTAAAAGGAATGTATAAAATTCTAGGTCAATACGCTTTTTGCCAATACATACGGTTGTTTTGCTTGCATCAATGGTTTGAGCGTTGCCTATTTTCTGCCTATACATTTTATTAAGTTGACAGAGGCCATCTTTGGGAATGTTTTCTTACAACGACATGCACCACGCAACTAGCTGTCGTAACAACATAATTTTTTAATGACATTCTCTCTTTATTACTTTACCTAAAAATGTTTTTTACCACTGACAGTAGGAACAAAGGTCATTGTAAGAAATTCCTTGTACTTGGCGACCGGACTATATTTACTAAATTCTACTTTTTTATTCATTCAACTCCCAATTTTTATTTTATTTTAAGATTACTTGAAAACTAGCTTTAAAATTGACACATGCCATCTTATTACAAAAATAGAATCTGTTTCAATAAAGAAGTCTCGTAGAAAATGTACGAACTAAATTGGGAGTAGTTATAACTAGAATAGAATTTGCCAGCAAATGGCAAATTTCGCGAAGATTGTGTCGCCGCGGCTTCTTATTAATAAGGGACTTATTTCGTGACTTGCCTATAAGCTCGACACTATCTCTCACTGTATAGAATAATATCAATATGTGATTTTGTAATAAGACCGAAAAGGTCCATTTTTAAATAAGTACACAACTCATATAATTATAGTACTTATAGTATATTTTTAAGGAACACAATTACTAATCCAAAAATTTTATTAAACAATAACTAACAGAGAAAATTTCTTACCTCACTAGGCGACTCGTGTAACCTATGGTAACCGGGCGGTGGCTGCTGGTTTTTGCCACTCGCTAGTTTTAACGGCAACTGTTGCTTCACCATTTGCTGGAATTATTATTTTATTTAAATAATTGTTTTAATCAAGTTTAAACTAGTAATAGGTCTGATATTTGAAAGGTCTTTAAACATACATATTTCCATGTTTTGAGGTTATGATGACAAGGTATGGTAAATGGATGCTATGAATCAAAATGCAAATGTGTTGATACGTGAAGACTAAGATAAACACTGTGGGGCTTCAGTTCTGTACATCCACCAAATGAAATCAGGTTCAATAAATATTTTAATGTTATGAATGAGTGTGTGAGAGAGTATCACGCTTACTTGAACAAAAGATTCAGTTTAAATATTTTGACTTTTTATTCATCATTATGTCCCTAATGCAAGGCACCGTACAGATGTACGACATGTGCGCAGGAACTGGCGTCGCCATTATCATAATTCTCGCTTAGTCCTGTCCGGCGAGCAGCTTGGGGAATAACTCTGGGGAGAGCGCAGGTCGTGTTGATCCCCAGAGCAAGTCTGAGAAGTTCTTCCTTCACGTGGTTGCCGCCTGTTATTTGGTTCAATAGGAAACAGACAGAACAGAAACACTCAGACGATCCTCATGTTCTTTTCTTTTTATGCCACCCCCTTTCTTCCTATCTTAACCCAATCCAAGGTGTTAAGCGTACCGTGTCGATGGATGCGTAGCTGGGGGGATATAGGAGTCGAAGAAGCCCTCTCTCCCTGCCAGAAGCCTTGGGATGAAATTCCTCTGCCCAATCCTCCCCCAGTCCCGAAGGCGAAAAAACGCAGTCAGTCTCAAGAAGAGTCCCCCAAAGACCAGCCCAGGAAATCTGTGAAGCTGGCAACGGGGGAGAAGAAGCTCAGCTACTGGCAAATCTACGGAAACAGCCCTGATCAGTGTTATTGACAGGGTCGAAAAACGACTGGAGAATAAAGAAATAGCTCTTTGTGCCTTTCTAGACGTTGAGGGCGCCTTCGACAGTAGCCCTACATAACTGCTGGTTGGGACCTACGCATTGACACTGGGTAGTGCTGATGACCTTGTGATCATTGCGAGGGGCTTTTGCTAAAGTACTTTATCATTAATCATACAAAGAGCCCTAAACACCATAAACAACTGGTGCAGGGATAACAGTTTATCAGTTAATGCTGATAAAACTGTTATAATACCCTTTACCAAAAAGAGACGGTTGTACAAATTAGTCACACCAAAACTCAATGGTAAAGAAGCACCGTTCTCCACTGAAGTTAAGTACTTGGGCGTAAAAATCGACCAAAACTAACGTACCCTCGGAACTACTAACGGAACCCTCACCTTAGCAATGTATGTCATAAGGCTAAAATTGCTTTAGGTACGTGCAGTCACATGGTCGGGAACAACTGGGGCTTGCGTCCCAGTATGATCTATGGCTGTATAGCATTATAGTAGTGAGGCCGATTCTTACCTACGCCTCCACTGTCTGGTGTAATAAGGCCAACCAAAAGATGACTGCGGACAGACTAAATAGTCTATAAAGGACTGCCTGCTTAATGGCAACTGGAGTGATGCGATCATCGCCTGGAGTGGATCTTAATGCATTCCTAGGCCTAACGCCTCTTGATCTTTACTTAGACAAGGAGGCGAAGGCTAGTTTGTATAGGATTAACGCTCAGGGCGGTTTGAGCTTGCCTTCCTACAGATTGAGATCCATGATCGACTCAGTCAAGGAAACACCGGTCTTAAGCATGATCTCAGATATAATGCGTCTACTACATACTTTTAACAAAAAGTATACTGTGGAACTATCCTCCAGAGAAGACTGGCTGAATGGACAGGTCATCTGTGAGGTCGGTAGCCTTATATGGTATACCGATGGGTCAAAAATGGGCCTCAACGTAGGCTTTGGAATTTATGGGGAACGCCCGAACTCGCAGCTAGTTAAGAGTAGATATAATAAAATTATTTAGTATTGAGTATTGAGACTGCGTGAACCGTCTTAACGCCCTGGGAGGTAACAACAAGGTCGTTTCAAGATGGGTTCCGGGTCACGCGGGTATTGTAGACAATGAAACTGCCAACAAGCTCGCACAGAAGGGCTCAAAAGTACACAATTTGGACTCGAGCCATTTTGTGGGTTCTCAAAAAGCCTCGTCCTATTGACCCTGGAAACTCTTCACAACAATTAATCACTTAAGATTTAGTCTGATACATCAGGCTTAAAACATTCTAAAACCTCAGTCCGGGCTTTTGGTCGTAAATTCGCTTCGGAAACCCTGGGATTAGTTAAAAATAAATTGCGCATTCTCGTAAGAGCCCTGACTGGACACTGTTGTCTTAAAAAGCACATGTCCATCCTGGTACTAAGCAACTCAAAGATGTGCCTTAGAGAAGGAAACGTCTTTACACATCCTGATAAATTGCGGAATTAATGCGCAAACGCAGCACTCATCTGGGAAAATATGTACTTTGCCCAGAAGAAGTGAAATCACTTACAGCTAAGAAACTCCTATTCATTGAGGACGTAGGGCTTAGCAGTGAACTGTAGACATAGCAGCGATCACAATAGATCTTTTAGGTCGCAGTGATACTGGTCTCTCTAGACTTACATAGCTGCTCGTACATAATAAAAAATATATATACGTAGCTTTAATAAATTTGACGCTCTGTGTTAAAGGTATGCCAAAAAAGTATATCACTCAGCATGTGTTATGGTGAAACCACAACGCCGGTTTTCAGCGATGACCGAAACGACAATGAAGAAGCGAATTCTACCCTCGTAAAACTTTTCAAGCAGTAAGAAGTACACAATAGCATTAATCAGTCAAACTGCTGGGTTAAGTTGGGGCCAAATTTTTCTAAGAACTTTACAATGTGAGACATTAGCATATTGTTGAGTTTTGTAAACAAAATACACATCAGATTTGGCTGTATGGTATAAGACTTTTGTCTGTTTTAATTAGCGAATCGTAACAACAATAACAACCGGAATTTTGGCGGTAACTTGACCGCCAGTGGATTTCTGCTCCTGTTTTATAGATTGAATAATGGTTTGAAGTGGGTTTTTTTTACGCAATCGTGGTGCGGTTTTGTGTATTTAATGTCAGCGCAATGAACTATTAGTGGGAACGGTGAAACAAGTGCTTTAATGGTGATGTGAGCCTTAAGTTATTGTGTACTCTTTTGGCGCTTTGAGATACTATCATTATCGATGGTCAGCTAGCTCAAGTTGTAGTTAAAAATCTCCTATAAACTACGCAATGTGAATGTGCATAATATATTGAAATGACTTTATATAAAGGATAATTATATTATTTGACATTGGCAAAAGTACAATAGTACGACTTCATTACCAAAAAAAAGAAAGGAAAAAAAACCCAGTATCAGACCGTGATGGCGGGCGCGCGCACCGTGGCCTTGCTCTCGTTCTGCGCGGACAGCAGCTGCGGCGGCGGCAGCTTCACGCTGCACGCAGACACCGACGACTCCGACCCCGTCGACCCGCGGTTGTCTGCACACAATGTCTCCATACTCCAATTGTGCGCTTATTTTTATAGTTCACAGCTGAACCGCCTTCACAGATTGCTTCATAACAGGGATTTTGCTATAGTCGCCACGCTTGCCAAACGAGTTTTTTTATTTTTAGTCGTCATTAGGAAGATGCTGCTGTCCATCTACTGATTTCTTTACGAGAATAATATGGAGTAGTGGATATTCACACTGCCATTACGCTACACGGCTACAGCAAGCAGGGAGTGTGGCAGGCAACTTAGTGCCGCCGTATTAGTATACAATTGATCACTGAGTATATAGCCTATTTTGAATGACAGCTCCTCTTCTTTAATGCTCTTTGGCCTCTCTTTCATATATACGCACACGAATACATTGTACAATCATGCTATTACGTATACGCATATATATATATTCTCGTGCATATTAACTGTATTATGAAACGATGACTATTTTATCAAAAATACTTATCCGCTCGGCAGAGCTGTAGTAAGGTTGGCTGCGACACTGTGGGCTCGTTGTTTTGAATCCCATACAAAACGAGTGCGTGCCTAGAAATAATTCTTCCGTGTCTGAAGGTTTGTCCATGAGCAATTTATGTAGATAAAACGGTACAAAAGAGTGAAGGTTACTTTTTTTTTAAATATAAATAGCGCAATAATTCTAAATAGCCTATATATAACTTACTTCGCCATTTTGGTTCTTTCCGCCGCGTGGTGTCACTAACACTTGAATCCGGTGAAAGCGTGCCGACACTTGCTATTTCTTCTTGTGAACCCCCTGCAAGGCACAAAATAAATTAGATTTAGCGTAGCTTTTTAAAAGCACAAAGTAATTCTGAAAAGGTAGGTAATAAAGTTCTCTTCGATCATAATGATTGTATAATATCTAGATGCCGTGAAGTGCTGTAATTACGTTGCAAAATATGGGCCAGAATTGTTTTGTGAACATGACAGCTTCAACTTACACTCTCGCTAGCTGTCTTTGTGTGCGTGACTCGGGGTACCGGTTTGGAGCTTTTCAGAATCATGTGGAAAAATTATAGGGAATTTGTGTTTATTTTATAATATATATTGTAGAACTTATATTGTATAATATTCACAATACGTATCACTGGCTCACTATCACACCAAGTCTCCCTAGGTACACGTCCTACCTCGGTGCGCTCCACAACGCAACTCCCCGCCGCAACTCCGTGCAACCACCGAGTAACGTGCTACCCCCACTACTTGTGTATATGAGACAGTGTATTGAATCTATTAAATAGATACAAACACTACATCCCTTCCTTACGAATGAATTTTAATCAAATGAAATACAGTTTTAAACCGAGGTAATTTTTTAATATTATTAATTTATTTTTCGAATCAATACAAAATCAATAAGTAATTAAACTTAATTTGCCTCGTTATAATCTTTACTTTCGAGACCTCCCGAAGATGATGTGGTCTCGTCCCGGATAGTGTTCCAGCTTCCCTCTATTTTCTTTAAATGTATAACGTTTCTCCGTAATCTTTGTCCTGTCTCTTCATTTCTCACAGTGATATCACCACCTACCGATTTCTCCACAACGTGCGGGGTAGGGCTAAAATTTGTAGTTAATTTGTTTGTTCTTTCCATGTTTTTTAAATAAACCTTATCTCCTTCTATAAATTCTGAATCTTTTGCTCTTCTCTTCCGGTCTCCATATTCTTTACCCTTTTCTTTTTGTAGTTTATCCCGATCCCTAATTTCTGAATAGTCTTCTTTACTATTCATATTTTTTAACATAGGTATTTTATCTCTATTTTGACGATTAAAGAAAAGTTCCGATGGTGATTTCCCTGTTACTGAATGTGGAGTAGAGTTATACATCATCAGATATTCATACAGTGTCTCCTTCAAGTCTTTTTTTTCAAGTTGACTGATTCTAAGTCGTTTTAATATGTCACGATTTTGGCGCTCTACTTCTCCATTCATCTGGGGCCAATACGGTATTGAATTTAACAGTTTAATATCACACTCAGCACAGAAGTTTTTAAATTCTTCACTTATAAATTGCCGCCCATTATCCGCACTAATCGAAACTGGGTAACCAAGGCGACTAAATATCTCTTTTAGATATTTTATAATTTGTGCACTGTTGATGGTTTTAGTTATCTTGATTTCTTTGTAACGGCTGTAATAGTCAATTACTACCAAAAGATAATCGTTAGTTGGTAGTGGTCCCAATAAATCCATCGCGATATCAACCCACGGTTCTGCTGGAAGTTCCCGCCGTTTCATGGGTACAGGTAGATTTGGCAGTCCCACAAGAGTGCACCCTTTGCAACTCTTGACCAGCATTTCGACATCTTTATCAATCTTTGGCCACCAGACTTTAGCTCTTAAACGTTCCTTCATAGACACGATTCCAGGGTGACCTTCGTGGGCTGCTACTAATACTTGTTTTCTTAATTTATTTGGAATTACAATTTTATTTCCTCTCAAGAGGATGTTGTCATAAAAACAAAGTTCATCTTCAAAAATTTTAAAGGTTTTGACTGACTCGTCCCACTGATTTTTATAGAGACCATTTTTTACGTTTGTTATTTCTAAGTCACTTCCAGATTGTAAAATTATATCTCGCATAGAAATAGCATGCGGTTTTGCTAATTGTACTATTTGACATATATGGTCGTCCCGTATAGGTTGTACATTTGTTTCTTTGCATAGTCGTGATAGTGGATCTGCAATGTTTGTATTTCCTGGCTTATATTTTATCTTATATCTATAGGCCTGTAATTTCAAAACCCATCTTTCAACGCGAGCACACGGCTTTGACTTGGGACTAAATAGGAATTCCAATGGCTTATGGTCAGTAATTAAATCGAATTCTTTCCCAAAAAGAAACGTGTTAAAATGCTCGACAGCCCAAACAAGAGCAAGGGCTTCCTTCTCTGTTTGGCTGTATTTCCGTTCACAATCTGTTAATGTCCGATTTCCATAGCCAATGATTCTGGGGCCCCTTTCATCAATTTGTACCAAAACAGCTCCTAATCCCACAGGGCTTGCATCCGCTATAACTTGGGTCTTGTCTTTGACGTCATAATATCCTAATGTTTCTATTTTTGTTAATTTCTCTTTGAGACACTTAAACGCATGATCCTGTTTCTTTGTCCAGTATTTTTCTATGTTAGCCTTTTTTCCTAATTTTATCCTAAGTAATTCTCTTAACGGTTCATTAAATGTAGCTAGTTTAGGAATCCATTTATTTATGTAATTTACTAATCCCAGAAAACTTTGCAACTCTTCAATTGTGTTTGGTACTCTAAATTCTTGTATGCTTTTGATATATTTAGGTAGAGGTGTTACCCCTTCTGGTGTTAATTCGTGTCCTAGAAATTTGACCTTTTGCACTTTATATAAGCATTTATCTTTATTGAGCAGGACATTATTTTCATTTAAAACATCCAATACTTGTGATAGTCGCAAATCATGTTCTTCTCCACTGCTGCCCCATATTAAAATATCGTCAATGAAATTGATTACCCCTTCACATTTGATTATCATTTTTTCCAAGATTTTTTGGAACAGCTCTGGTGCACATGAAACTCCAAACATAAGTCTTTTATATCTGTAAAGTCCACTAGAAGTTACAAAAGTTGTTAAATATCTGGAGTTAGGATGCAGCTCAACTTGATGGAAAGCATTTTTTATATCTAGTTTGGAAAAATACTTTGCTTTTCTTATTTTCGGCAGCAAGTGGTTCATACTAGGCAATGGGTGATTTTCTCTGAGAATTGCTGTATTAGCTCGCCTCATATCGACACAGAGACGTATATCTCCATTATCTTTTAATATTGGTACAATAGGCGATACCCATAAAGATGGTTCATCTACTTCTTCAATAATATCGGCATCTAATAACTCTTTTATCTTCCTTTTTATATTTTCCTCGATAGGAATAGGTATTCTCCGATAGGGCTGTATTACCGGTTTTATGGATTTATTTATCGGAATCTCCACTAAAATACCTTTAAACTTTGGAAACTGCTTGCTTAGTTCCTGATCAACGTGGTTAATACTAACGCCTACTTTTAAAACTCCTAATCGTATCGCTGAATCCTTTCCTAACAAATTCCTGGATCCGTTTTTTATGACATAAATAGAGCAGGGGTCAGTTTTTCCATTCGTTTTAATTTCGGTTTCGAACGAACCTTTTACATCTAAAGGTATACTACTGCCATAGGCTAGTAATATTTTATTTGGTTTCTTAGTTTGATTTTTACAACTAACTTTATGTATTTTCAAATATTCCCATGCTTTATCCGTTATTAAATTTGATTTACACCCTGAGTCGATCAGCATATGAAGCTCGACGCCACCTACATCACACTTTATGGTTGCATCGTCATTTACATTAAAGATATACTGAGAATCATCGTCTTCTAAAGTATTGACTGAAGAGTCCTTACGGGGCCTTTTATTTCTATTATTTCTTATGTCTTCTTCTTGCTCGTGTTCTATTTTCCTTTTAAATCTATTTAACTTTGTTTTACAGCATCTTTGATAGTGTCCCACTTTTCCACACCCGTGACATTTTCTTTCTTTGGCTGGACATTTTGGGTCCTGAATATTGTGCGTTGCTTTTCCGCATCTTCCACACTTAAAATTTCCTGACCTCATTTCAGTTTTTCCCCATTTCGAAGTATCCTTGCTCTTACTCGTGACTGAATTTATCTCGCTGGTCTTTTCTTTCCGTTCATAGCTTTCTAGTTGATGATTTACTGCCTCTAATGTTTTTGCTTCTATAACTACCTTGTCTAATGTCACATCATCCCCCATCGTTAAAATCTTTTTCCTGAGCTCTACCGATGCACATCTTTCTATTATTTGATCGATAATGTAGTCATCAGGCTTATCAAATTTGCATTTTTTAGCTTGATCTCTCAATTTTAAAAGAAACTTTTCAAAATTTTCACCGTCTTCTTGTTTAATCGAACGAAAAATATGTCTCTCATAAGTTTTATTTTGTTTAGGGAGGAAATAGTTATCGAGCTGTTTTAGGGCTAATTCAAAATTATCTACTCCCTCCTGCACTGCACTGGTATCTGGCAAGTTGTAAAATATATCCTGAAGCCCGGTTCCGCCTAACAATAACAAAGTTGCTCTCTTTTTTATTGGGCATTGTATATCGGCTGCTTCGAGATAAATCTTTAAAGACCTTTTCCATTTCTCCCATCGCAAGCCTACTGACGTGCTGTCTCCCTCGAGTTCTAATTTTTCCGGTGACGGTAATAAATTTGACATTTCGAATCCTTGGCAACCTGAAAATAAATGCAGTTTAAAGCATCCTATCTCCAATTTAATGGAACCCAGTATCTCCAATTTAATGGAACCCAATATCTCCAATTTAATGGAAACCAATATCTCCAATTTAATGGAACCCAATATCTCCAATTTAATGGAAACCAATATCTCCAATTTAATGGAAACCAATATCTCTAATTTAATGGAAACATATATATCCAATTTAATGGAAACCAATATTTCCAATTTAATGGAAACTTTTTTTCTATGATCTAAGTACCCTATTATTTTAATTCACAGACTCAAAATATGGTTTATAATTCGGCACAAATTAGATAGTATTATTTTGCAAGTTCATATATAATAAATCTTTCCATTTTAGTCTTAAATAAGCAAAATTACATAGCTCAGCTTTAATTTATGCTTAAATGAATATATGATTCAAAAGTTGTAAAAGCCAGAAGAAATTTTTAGTAATATTGAATATTTTATTCGTTCACTCTTTTTTGGTAGAAAATATTAAAAATATTCTTTAGTTCTACATAACTGTTTAGTCATACTTTATATTTATATATGAAATATTTACCATTGACTGTACACTATGTATTTAGCTCATTTTAAGTAACATAAACTCAATGTTGGTTTTTAGAAAACAAGGGGTTATTATTTTTTACTTACCGTTTTTCTCCTCGTCGCCACTTGTAGAACTTATATTGTATAATATTCACAATACGTATCACTGGCTCACTATCACACCAAGTCTCCCTAGGTACACGTCCTACCTCGGTGCGCTCCACAACGCAACTCCCCGCCGCAACTCCGTGCAACCACCGAGTAACGTGCTACCCCCACTACTTGTGTATATGAGACAGTGTATTGAATCTATTAAATAGATACAAACACTACATATATAATATTTAAGAATTTGTATGGTCTACGAATACGAATTCGTTCTTAGAAATGCAGTAATAGTTGTAGTTATTCTCAAAATTATCGTTTCTGCACCGATTATTTTTATAAATAATATCTGGGAGAGAACTGAAAAGGTCCGACAATTTGAAAACTATTGAATTTGGCCCGATTTCTTATATGTTTGCAGGAAATTGGATTGGAACCTCAAATACGTACAAACTAACGCCCCTATAAAACTGTGTAATAAATTAAACAAAGTAAATTAATGAATACACGAACCATGTTGTTGCAACCTCTCCAAGCGGCGGTAGAGCCTTTCTCTTTGTTGTTCCACGTCTTTTTGTTGTTCTTCTAATTCTTGTCTTGCTAGTTGAAGCTGCCGTCTTTCTGTACGAATAAAACATATGAGATATGTGTGAGATGTATTGAACAAAAATTACTTTTCTGTAAATAAGTCTAAAATTTTATTAAGTTCATAAAACTGGACATATACATTAAGGACTTGCATTATAACAAAAAAGAATTAACTGACATGTGTATGTGTACGTACTTCTCGTTATGAACACAACATGCTTTAAAATATTTTTATATAGAATAAGGGTGACAAACGAGTACACAGTCCACCTAATGGTGAGTGAATGCTGCAGCCCATAGACACCTACATTAATCCTCAAATAAGAATTAAAACGTAGATGCGCTGTCAACTACTAGGCCGAAAATGGAATGCCTGGTTTCCAGTAGAAAAGATCTTTAGTTCTCTACAGTCTACACTTAGCCCTAACACAGCAGCCCTAAATAAAATAAAATAAATACATCAGCAATATTAAGCTGCTGCTTTATGTTGTATATATGTATTATGTGACAGCATCGTCTTTCCCCGGTCGAGCCGACCCATTCATGGTACAATCATAATATAGCTGCAGCGTGTCTCTACTACGTGTATAGCCCATATGTGTAACACACACAACAGACTTCAACATGTTCAGGATTGTCCCAAACATTTTATAAGGTTTGATAGGCCACAAATCCCAGCAAAAGAACATCGATTCCTACCAAGGATGACTCATGTAGCTATTGAAATTATACAAAAAAACATTCTAATTTCAACAGAGAAGATGGTTGGGTGCTATCTGCTTGAGATTCCATAATTAATAAAATGAAATCCAAACCCAAGCATACTTGCAAGGCTTCAAGATATTGTAAGCTTGTTCTGCGTAGATTGGGCCAAAAATTAAAATAATTAAAATCAGAAGGTAGTTTTCGTTAACTAGGACTTCAGGAGATCAGGTACATAACACACAAATGTTAAAATTAATTTTATTAAATGTGTAGTATTAGCGTAAATATAAGAAATAATCAATGAACCGCAGCTCCTCCAGCTGCGCGTCCACACGCAGTGTCACACGCACACACACACTCACCGTCCGCGACGGCGGCCCGGTCGGCTGCGCGCTGTGTCTCCCAGGCGGCGCGCTCGGCCGTGAGGCGCGCCTGCGCGTGCCGCAGCTCCTCCAGCTGCGCGTCGTGCGTGTACATACACACACACGCACACGCACACGCACACGCACACACACACTCACCGTCCGCGACGGCGGCCCGGTCGGCTGCGCGCTGTGCCTCCCAGGCGGCGCGCTCGGCCGTGAGGCGCGCCTGCGCGTGCCGCAGCTCCTCCAGCTGCGCGTCGTGCGTGTACATACACACACACGCACACGCACACGCACACGCACACACACACTCACCGTCCGCGACGGCGGCCCGGTCGGCTGCGCGCTGTGCCTCCCAGGCGGCGCGCTCGGCCGTGAGGCGCGCCTGCGCGTGCCGCAGCTCCTCCAGCTGCGCGTCGTGCGTGTACATACACACACACGCACACGCACACGCACACGCACACACACACTCACCGTCCGCGACGGCGGCCCGGTCGGCTGCGCGCTGTGCCTCCCAGGCGGCGCGCTCGGCCGTGAGGCGCGCCTGCGCGTGCCGCAGCTCCTCCAGCTGCGCGTCGTGCGTGTACATACACACACACGCACACGCACACGCACACGCACACACACACTCACCGTCCGCGACGGCGGCCCGGTCGGCTGCGCGCTGTGCCTCCCAGGCGGCGCGCTCGGCCGTGAGGCGCGCCTGCGCGTGCCGCAGCTCCTCCAGCTGCGCGTCGTGCGTGTACATACACACACACGCACACGCACACGCACACGCACACACACACTCACCGTCCGCGACGGCGGCCCGGTCGGCTGCGCGCTGTGCCTCCCAGGCGGCGCGCTCGGCCGTGAGGCGCGCCTGCGCGTGCCGCAGCTCCTCCAGCTGCGCGTCGTGCGTGTACATACACACACACGCACACGCACACGCACACGCACACACACACTCACCGTCCGCGACGGCGGCCCGGTCGGCTGCGCGCTGTGCCTCCCAGGCGGCGCGCTCGGCCGTGAGGCGCGCCTGCGCGTGCCGCAGCTCCTCCAGCTGCGCGTCGTGCGTGTACATACACACACACGCACACGCACACGCACACGCACACACACACTCACCGTCCGCGACGGCGGCCCGGTCGGCTGCGCGCTGTGCCTCCCAGGCGGCGCGCTCGGCCGTGAGGCGCGCCTGCGCGTGCCGCAGCTCCTCCAGCTGCGCGTCGTGCGTGTACATACACACACACGCACACGCACACGCACACACACACTCACCGTCCGCGACGGCGGCCCGGTCGGCTGCGCGCTGTGCCTCCCAGGCGGCGCGCTCGGCCGTGAGGCGCGCCTGCGCGTGCCGCAGCTCCTCCAGCTGCGCGTCGTGCGTGTACATACACACACACGCACACGCACACGCACACGCACACACACACTCACCGTCCGCGACGGCGGCCCGGTCGGCTGCGCGCTGTGCCTCCCAGGCGGCGCGCTCGGCCGTGAGGCGCGCCTGCGCGTGCCGCAGCTCCTCCAGCTGCGCGTCGTGCGTGTACATACACACACACGCACACGCACACGCACACGCACACACACACTCACCGTCCGCGACGGCGGCCCGGTCGGCTGCGCGCTGTGCCTCCCAGGCGGCGCGCTCGGCCGTGAGGCGCGCCTGCGCGTGCCGCAGCTCCTCCAGCTGCGCGTCGTGCGTGTACATACACACACACGCACACGCACACGCACACGCACACACACACTCACCGTCCGCGACGGCGGCCCGGTCGGCTGCGCGCTGTGCCTCCCAGGCGGCGCGCTCGGCCGTGAGGCGCGCCTGCGCGTGCCGCAGCTCCTCCAGCTGCGCGTCGTGCGTGTACATACACACACACGCACACGCACACGCACACGCACACACACACTCACCGTCCGCGACGGCGGCCCGGTCGGCTGCGCGCTGTGCCTCCCAGGCGGCGCGCTCGGCCGTGAGGCGCGCCTGCGCGTGCCGCAGCTCCTCCAGCTGCGCGTCGTGCGTGTACATACACACACACGCACACGCACACGCACACGCACACACACACTCACCGTCCGCGACGGCGGCCCGGTCGGCTGCGCGCTGTGCCTCCCAGGCGGCGCGCTCGGCCGTGAGGCGCGCCTGCGCGTGCCGCAGCTCCTCCAGCTGCGCGTCGTGCGTGTACATACACACACACGCACACGCACACGCACACGCACACACACACTCACCGTCCGCGACGGCGGCCCGGTCGGCTGCGCGCTGTGCCTCCCAGGCGGCGCGCTCGGCCGTGAGGCGCGCCTGCGCGTGCCGCAGCTCCTCCAGCTGCGCGTCGTGCGTGTACATACACACACACGCACACGCACACGCACACGCACACACACACTCACCGTCCGCGACGGCGGCCCGGTCGGCTGCGCGCTGTGCCTCCCAGGCGGCGCGCTCGGCCGTGAGGCGCGCCTGCGCGTGCCGCAGCTCCTCCAGCTGCGCGTCGTGCGTGTACATACACACACACGCACACGCACACGCACACGCACACACACACTCACCGTCCGCGACGGCGGCCCGGTCGGCTGCGCGCTGTGCCTCCCAGGCGGCGCGCTCGGCCGTGAGGCGCGCCTGCGCGTGCCGCAGCTCCTCCAGCTGCGCGTCGTGCGTGTACATACACACACACGCACACGCACACGCACACGCACACACACACTCACCGTCCGCGACGGCGGCCCGGTCGGCTGCGCGCTGTGCCTCCCAGGCGGCGCGCTCGGCCGTGAGGCGCGCCTGCGCGTGCCGCAGCTCCTCCAGCTGCGCGTCGTGCGTGTACATACACACACACGCACACGCACACGCACACGCACACACACACTCACCGTCCGCGACGGCGGCCCGGTCGGCTGCGCGCTGTGCCTCCCAGGCGGCGCGCTCGGCCGTGAGGCGCGCCTGCGCGTGCCGCAGCTCCTCCAGCTGCGCGTCGTGCGTGTACATACACACACACGCACACGCACACGCACACGCACACACACACTCACCGTCCGCGACGGCGGCCCGGTCGGCTGCGCGCTGTGCCTCCCAGGCGGCGCGCTCGGCCGTGAGGCGCGCCTGCGCGTGCCGCAGCTCCTCCAGCTGCGCGTCGTGCGTGTACATACACACACACGCACACGCACACGCACACGCACACACACACTCACCGTCCGCGACGGCGGCCCGGTCGGCTGCGCGCTGTGCCTCCCAGGCGGCGCGCTCGGCCGTGAGGCGCGCCTGCGCGTGCCGCAGCTCCTCCAGCTGCGCGTCGTGCGTGTACATACACACACACGCACACGCACACGCACACGCACACACACACTCACCGTCCGCGACGGCGGCCCGGTCGGCTGCGCGCTGTGCCTCCCAGGCGGCGCGCTCGGCCGTGAGGCGCGCCTGCGCGTGCCGCAGCTCCTCCAGCTGCGCGTCGTGCGTGTACATACACACACACGCACACGCACACGCACACGCACACACACACTCACCGTCCGCGACGGCGGCCCGGTCGGCTGCGCGCTGTGCCTCCCAGGCGGCGCGCTCGGCCGTGAGGCGCGCCTGCGCGTGCCGCAGCTCCTCCAGCTGCGCGTCGTGCGTGTACATACACACACACGCACACGCACACGCACACGCACACACACACTCACCGTCCGCGACGGCGGCCCGGTCGGCTGCGCGCTGTGCCTCCCAGGCGGCGCGCTCGGCCGTGAGGCGCGCCTGCGCGTGCCGCAGCTCCTCCAGCTGCGCGTCGTGCGTGTACATACACACACACGCACACGCACACGCACACGCACACACACACTCACCGTCCGCGACGGCGGCCCGGTCGGCTGCGCGCTGTGCCTCCCAGGCGGCGCGCTCGGCCGTGAGGCGCGCCTGCGCGTGCCGCAGCTCCTCCAGCTGCGCGTCGTGCGTGTACATACACACACACGCACACGCACACGCACACGCACACACACACT